CTGTTTCCAAATCCTAACGTAGTTACAACTTCCTTCCTGGTTTCTTACTTTTCCTTAATTTTCCTCTCATCGCTTTCTTATACTTTTCGTTCTTGCCTCCTCCCTCTCTCTCTCTCTTTCTCTCTCACTCACTCTCTTTCCCAGCACTTTCTTCCGCATTTAGACGCTTATCATCATCTTCTACCCAGAATATACCCCAAAGGGCATCTTTGCCCCTTCTCGAGGGACTCTCAGGCCGAGGTGACTTATTTACCGGAGTAAAAATAACGGAGGTGACAGGTATTTGTAATAATACATTGAAGAGAGAGAGAGAGAGAGAGAGGAGGGAGGGATGGAGATAAGGAAGATGATGAGAGTAAAAAACAGTTTGTACAATTTATTATTATGCTTTTTTTAGATCTCTCTCTCTCTCTCTCTCTCTCTCTTCCCAGAAGGAGATGCTAAGAGCCCATCATCGTCTTCCATGTCGATCCGCTCCAGTTGACCTTAAACTTTTTATCCTTTCGCTCTTATCATCTTCCTCTTTCTTCATTTTATCTTAACCTTTACCTTTCTCTCTCTCTCTCTTTCTCTCACCTTGACCTTCAATACTTTTCGTCCTCCGTCCTCACCCAATAGATCATTTACCTTGACGCTTTTTTTACAACAGAAAAAAATAATACAATTTACTGAGATTTTTTTTCTCTCTCTTCCGCTTCCCATAGTTTTTACTTTTCTCTTTTTTATTCTATCTCACTCACTATTTTTTCTCCATTTTCTTGTACATTATTGTTTGCATTGACCATTGGTCATCTTCTCAAACACCTTAAACCTTTCACCTGCTCTCTCTCTCTCTCTCTCTTTCTTTCTTTCTTTTCTAACTCTTTGGATGAAATCGACTGCAACTTACCTTTGGTTAAGAAAATAAAAAAGAGCCAAAAAAAGTTTGATGAACATTTTTTACCATCAAAAATCTTGACCAATGATTACGATGTGTCCAAAACTGACCAAAGGCTCAACAGATTTTAGTAACAATCAAACTAAAGGCCACACCAATAGATAAAGAAGATAACTTTTCAAAAAGACTCAAAAAACATCAAGACGAAGACAAAAACTCATAGAATTTATAAAAAAATGAAGAAAATATCACAATTTAATCAGCATCTTCATCTCTCTCTCTACACCCAAATCTCCAGTCAGTTCAAGTCAAAACCCACCTTCATCTTGACCACCCTCTCCACCCACACCCACTAATCTGTTTTGTCAAACAAACATAAACAAACAGACTTTACAAATCTTCATGTTATCTGTCCAATGTCCAAATGAATGACCATCACTTATCCAAAAAAGAACTGATTTGACCCAAAGAAAGTGAGACAAACCAACCAAAAGCTTGACCATTGATACATTTTCCCCCAAACTAAAGGATAATCAATATGCAAAATCCAACCTTAAATCCTAAACTAATCATATCACAAAGAATACACAGTTACAGTTAATACCCACCGGTGAAAAATAAACCAAAAAAGAAAGAAAGAAAAACTTTCCATTGAAATAAATTACTTGACCAATGTCCATATTAAATATTACTGATTACTTATGATGATAAAAACTTTCAGAAATCATTTGAACACCTTTAAGGTAAAACTTTCCAACTGACCAATGGCTAATAACGATAATCAATATCCCAGCCATTTAACCTTTATCATTATCATCATTATCATCATCATCTCCACCCCAACCCCCCTAGATATATATATGTATGTATTTCACTAATACACAATGTCCACTTTGTGTGTCCAGTATTTACTCAGATTTCATTTTCAAGGAAAAACCTTTTAAAGTTACAATTTCTTTGTATTACTTTTATTACCAAGCAAAAAGGGTTCAAAGGTAAATACATATTTTAAAATCTCATTGATACACCTTTTCCAATGGTGATACTATTAATATATTTAAGGAGACTGGACATTAGTAAAATGTTATACTGGACACAAGGTAGATTAGGAGATTGACTGACAGAATGACATTTCTCCTGTGTAAAGAACAAAAAAAAAACTTTGCAAACATGAAATTACATTATAAGGATAACCCTGTAACTTTTTTCTCCTCGAAAAGGATTATCATTTATCTTTCATCTTGTATGTTCATAATTTTTATCCTTTTCTCTATCGGGTGATTTATATATATTATTTGACCAATGGTCAGTATCAGTTGTTGATGTTGTTGTTGTTGTTGTTGTTAAGTTCAATATGTTTGTTTACTTGACTTTTTGCTTCCTTGTTTTGTTGTTATTATTATACTTTTCCTTTATTGATTGTCTTTCATTGATTTAATTTATTTAATTTCGTATCATTTGTAACATCACAATCAATTACACGTTTGTTGTTAACAATTACAATCACAATTAATAATCACAATTTGATTCTGAAACTTTTTTTCTTGTTGACAATTGATTGAGAGAGAGAGAAAAGTTTTCCTTGATTACCTTTTATTTGTACTATTTATTATTATGATTTATATGTTAATATGAAAGTTTGATTAAGTATTTTAATTGTGACAATTTAAACTTTTGTTAACTATAACCAAGTTTGTAAATGGTTCATTTGATTCTGATGATGATGATGATTGGTTTTCGTCTTGTTGGTTGATTGTTATTATTAGTTTTTTTTTCTCGACCAAGTGATTTACGAGTTTCGGTGATGATTTGAATTGTGATTTAAACCATGAGGATTAATTGAATTCTGGTTAAGAGGTAATATAAATCAAAGAGATTGAAAAATTTACCTGAGGGTTTATTTTACCTGTGGGTTAATTTGATAATAATAATAACAAGAAAATAAAAAGGTACTTGTGAGTCTTTTGTGTCCACAGGATAAAAAAAAATAGATGAAGATGAAGTAGGTGAAGCAATCGAGTGACCAAAGATTACAGAGGTCAATTGGTGGGTATTAAGGCTCAATGAACCTTTGGGTTAACTTGGGTAAAAGGTAAGAGGTTGAAATTGGTTTAAGAGGGAAATTTATTCTTGGAACAAAAAATTAAAATTAATTTTCTATCAGAGACTCGCCTCTTTTACCTTTGCTTTTCTTTATTGGTCAAATTCTGCTGGACATCGTCATCATTATTCACAAAGATACACAGGTAAGTGTATCTACTCAGTGGGTTAGTTGTTGGTGATGAGGATTAATTTAGATTATGAAAGATTTTATCGATTATTGTAACAATTTGAAAGAGAGAGAGAGAGAAGAAAATATTTATTCAAATTTTCTTGCGATGGTCAAGATTTAAAGTGACATTGGTCAGCATTTTGTTGACTTAGAAAGAGAGAGAGTAAAAGTTGTTGGCAAACTAATCAATCAACATGGAACATTTCAATTAAATTGTTTAAGGTCAGTGTGATTAGGAATTGATGATGAAAATTAACCAGGTAACCTTATGAATAGAAATTGAAATTACAGGTAAATCAAAGGATGATGATGATGACAAAGGTAAATTGTTGATGATCAACTAATGGTTTCCATTGTGTTTATTACATTAGAGGAGGAAATAATAATAGTCTCAACGATTGTTTAAGATTGTAAATATTAATTGTTCTTGATTAGCATGATTGTTAATCAAACAATCATGATCATGTTAAGTAGCCGGTGTATTTGTAAATGCGGAAGCAAATTGTTATTATCATAAAGATGAATCATGTTTACATTTTTCTTACAGGTAAGTTACTTTTTCTGATGAATGAAAATAAAATAAGATGAAGAAAGTTTTTTCTTGATTCTGATTCTGATTCTGATGATGATGGTGATGGCGATACCTGAACTGACCAGTGAATGGTACTAACACTCACACTGAATTGAAGGATAAACTGTTAAACCTTCAGAATCATTTATCATCCTCATCATCTCTTATTCAATACAATAAACATGAAAATTGTACCAGGTACACATTATGACCAGTTTATCTTTCTCTTTCTTTTTTTCTCTTTCTTTCTTTTACTATTACTACTCTTGACCATCACATTTGAAATTGACCTTTAACAGGTTCCCTTTCTAATGATTCATTTTACTTGAAAATTTTCTTCTTCATTTTGATTTTTTTTCTCTCTCTCTTGCTAATTATTATTCTATTGGTATCATAATGGTCAATACTCTATGTTCTGGACACTCACTTGTACTCTCAAGGGTCAGTTTGTAATTTGCTTTCATCCAAATGTCCAGTTTCAAGTGATGAATAACCTGTTACCTAATTGTTAGGGTCACTTTCTAATTTCTTATACATTTGTTTCTCTCTCTCTCTCTCTCTCTCTCTCTCTGTTTATTTTATCTTAATGATTGATTTACTTTTCTATTAATAAATTTCCGTTTCAACAATTAACAAATTATCTTATAAATTTATCTCCCTATTCTAATAATATATTAGCTTTCATTTTTTAATTCTCTTATTTTTCTCTCTCTCTCTTTCTTTCTTATCTCATTTTGTCTTCATCATTTCTAATGGTCAACACAATTTCCTAATGGTCAGTTTACTTTTCCAAGGGTCAATTGGACAAAATAATAAGAGTGAGAAGAAGGAAAAAGTTTTTCAATCAAGTTTTTTGTCCTTGATTATTATCCAAATTAAATTGTTCAGTTAATTGTCTCCATTTGTTTAAACTGTTAAAAGATATGATAGATCTCTCCCTCTCTGTCAACAACAGCACTAATTGTCAAGCTTAATTGTTAATCACAATCACAAGAGATTAAAACAAAACAAAACTTTAACCACAATAGAAAATATCAAAGAAAATAATCTCACTCAAAAAATAAATATAAAAATATTTTCTTCTCTCTCCCTCTCTACGCGTGTCCCCTTTCAAATCAGATCCAACAATTAACTGTTAAATTAACTGTATTCCAGTGTAGATTAATTAAAAATGAGTAATCAACAATTTAATTGTTTTCTTTTCAATTCGTAGTGAGAATAAGCTATTTTCAGAGAACGTCACCAGTAGCGCCATCTCTTAGAAGAAAATTTTTTTTTCTGTTCCACTTTTGGATCTTTAATTTTTTTGTTTATCTTTTTTTTTCTAATTACATTTTGATTGAGCTTTTTTTTTACCAAATTACTTTTACTTTTTGTGAATTTAAATTCTCATCTATGGTTTAAATTATGTCTTCAATTGCTCTGAATAATGAACCATCTTCTCTTTCATGTTCAACCAATAACAGTTTGGATAGTGTTGCCCTGGCCAATGGTTGTATCCCATTTAGTGTAATTCTCAATAGACTTTCCCAGGAGACGATTGATTTTTATTGTAAAAGCAACTTGGAACCACCAGAATCACCTGAAGGTAACGATGAAGGTGATGACATAGACGCGGATAAATATGAAGAAAAGGAGCCGCAAATAATAACAATAGATTTGGAAAAGTTTGATTCTTCCATAGTAAATAATAATAATAATAATAATAATAATACAACAACAACAACGTTTGGAAATTTGCAGTCTCGAATTAAATTGGATGATAAAATTTTCTGCCTCTTTAATTTGGAAGAGTTTGATGATCAATATGAAGCTGTTCAAGCCTATTACCGGGAATTACGATATGCTCCTTTTAGATGTATTGAATGTGACGAGGCGACCGTTGAATTAAAAGGAATGGTTGACCATTACCTTAACCAACATCCAACAATTAAAAAGGCTCAATATTGGGTTGAAGAGATACCAGCTAAAGAGAAATGGGTCCACAAGTTTATCAAATATCAGATTGCTTGTCATAACGAGGAAGATGAAATGTTCCCAAATGATACTGTAAACAAATTTTGTCCCGTTTGTAATCATTATGATTATCTTTTACGCCTATCAAATCCACCAAAGACCTCGTTAAAGGTTACATCGATGTGTGATCGTAATCACATCAATAAACACCTTAAATATAATCCATGGGAATGTATTTTATGCCGTGAATCGGGTCGCCGTTATGCAATCTCATCTGTTAACAATAAAGCCCAGGAACACTTGATTCATAAACATAAATTACCAAGATCAGATGATTGCCTGTCATACTTTAAGAAGACTGCAACTATACCGGAATTGGATAACTTTCTACGTGAATATATTAATATTATCCAAGAAAATGAACGTTCAAATGTTAAACCTGTGGTCAGAAGGAAACCTTTAGCTGGTAAACCTAATCGACAAATCGCCAATCATCAAAATAGAGGAAAACAAACTGGACAATTGTACAAACAAGCGTCAGCTTCATTCAAAAAGTTTAAAGAATCTCGTGATTCTGTGAGAAATGTTAAAAAAGCCAACAATCGAAAGTCTATCGAATACAGAGATGAAGATAACGAAGACTATCAACCATTCAAAGATGATGTAATTATCTTATTCTTATTACAACGTTACCTTTGGGATTAAGAAACACTAATGGATTATAATCCTTTTTGTCTTTAACCCAAAAGCTTTTCTCTCTCTCTCTCTCTTTCTATGTCAATTTTCTTGAAATTTGATTCTTCTCATATTTTCTTATTTGATTACTAATCGATTTGAATTTTCTCTCTCTCTTTTTACCAGAGTTCAAGATTCTTTTGTATTTTCTGTACGGATGATAATCTATCGGACATTTACTCAGCTTGGGGACATTATGGTTTACATTTGAAATATACTCCAATTATATGTGGTATTTGTAATAAAACGTTTACAAGTGATACTAGTTTTCGATACCATGGAATTGAACATGTTGAACATTCTGATCTACCATTTACTCGTAACTGTGATGAAGCAATTGAAACTTGGGGCCATGAATTTTTACAAGGTTTAACTAATGGTACAGAAGCTAAACCCGAATTTGCTGAATATTGTCCAGTTTGTGAGAAAATTTTCTCTAAACCAGTTGAACCACCTCATCTTTCAGCTAATTCAATTAAAACTCACATCTATTCACACCTTAAATATCATCCATATGAGTGTTTACCTTGTCAACTTCAATGTGAGAAGAAAACTTTTGTCGGTGATCTTGATTACCAAGCGGCTCTTCACCTTAACTCTGAACATTCAATAACCGTAACACCCGCGGAGATAAAAAATTATTATATCAAAACCCGAGGAATTGAATCTCTTGATACATTTTTAAGGGAACATTTTGCCAAAATCGCCTATCACATTGGAGGAGCGCCCATGGAATTGTCATCATCCACAGCCTCAACCATTACCCCAACTACAATGCTCCCAAATTTGTTAAATTAACAATCAATCAGATGAACAATTTAAGTGATAAACATTGATCACAATCAAGTTTCAATTACTTTTTAAAATTGTATTTAAACAAGCGGATTATCAGATTGTCATCATCATCATTGTCACCATCATCATCACCAACAACAATAACATTATATTTCCAAGATAATCATTTGATTTAAATCAATGATTAAACTATTTTTTTCATTTCTCTCTCCTACTCTCTTTACATACCTTCAACTAATTTAAATCAGTTGATTTTTAAGCCCAACTGATTAAAAACAAAGAAAAAGCTGATCCCAAGTTAATCGTAACAACAACAACAACAATTAATCTCCATTAAGATCTCTCTCTCTCTCTCTTTCTCTCTTGTTTATCCTTAATTGCTATTGACAAAACTTAAAGGAAATCATGATAACATGAAGAAAAACGGGAAAATAAAAAGTCGTTAATTGTATAACAATCATTTTCTAATTGCTTAAATTAAAAATTTGAAAAGAAAATTTCAATTCAGTTGATTAACCAATTGAATGTTGATCATTTAAAATTCTGTTGACGATAAATTAAGATGACAATGAAACGATTGTTGATTAATTAAGGATGAATTTAAATACTCATTTGATTGTTGAAGAATTCATTGAATCGATTATCATGAGAGAGAGAGAGAGAGAGAATTTTATAGAAAGAAAGAGAAGATAAAAAGAGAGTGAGAAGATCGGGAGAGAGAAGAAAAAAAAATATCAACATTATTTTTCTATACGAAAAGTTACTCACTGAAAATAAACATTTTCTTTTTCTCGTGTTGACAAATTTTCTTTTCTTTTTCTTTATTAATTGAGTTTCGACAAACTATGTGCCTTTCACCATTGGAAGTTAATTGTTAATCAACTTGTGTCCCACTAAATTAGGTAATTAGAATGAATTTTAAATTTCTAATTAAAGACAATCAATCGTTTTCTTTTCTTCTTTGGCCAATTGAGTTTTCATTTTCCTTTTAGGCTTTGTTATTGTTTTCCATCCATATTGTTGTTGTTTGTTGTTACCTGTTGATTGTTGCCCTTTGATGGTTAATTGCTTGTTCCGTCTTCATCATCATCATCATTTTCATCTTCACCTGGTCTCACATTGGCTACATCATCATCACCTTTATCATCTGTTTTCTATTCTCTTTTATTGTCAATAATTTTCTTCGCCATCACTTGTTGTTGTCAACGTTTTCCATTTTCTTTTTTTCCAATTAATTTAAAATTTTCTCTTTCTCTGTGATTATTGGTCCAATTAATTGTTTTCTCTTTTTTCCTTTAATTTTTTCAGATAAAACGTTAATTAATCCATAGAATAACTTTGATAACATGGATATAAGATCAATGAAAGATGAAGAAAAGCTAATTATATGTAGAAAATATTTCTATGGTAAATATTTGATTCTTTGTTTATGTTAATGTGTTTACATTTTTTTCTATTTTGATTTGTGATTTATTGTTATTTTTCTAAAGATTTTCAATTACTAATTTTATTTTCCATTCTATTTTCTTTTCTTTCAGGTGGATTTGTGTTTCTACCTTTGCTTTGGCTCATGAATTCAGTCTGGTTTTTCCAGGAAGCTTTTAGATCTCAAAGAGATTATCCTCAAAAAAAGGAGATGAAACGTTTTGTCGTATTATCATTTATCGCTTCTGTAATTGAATTAACTCTTCTTCTTGTATGGATTATTTATTTCCAAAACAATCGAGCCACATCGGATTGGGCTGATTCATTATCCTTCCTTGATCCAGTCGGTATTCCATGAGAGTGTAATTTTACTCACATTATCCTTGATGATATTTTCTATTTTCATTTTTCAAGTTGCTAATCATTAACATAGTCTGTCAATTGTTACAAATCAAGTTTAAGTTCTGTAAGTTAATCCTTAGACTTTGAGAGTTTGGTGAGTATACTTGTAATTAGTAAATTTTTGTTAATTTATTACATGTGAGTTCGTTAATATAAGAATAATTTCCCATCTTCTTTTTTTTTGTTGATTTCGCAGAGAAAAGGTTTTGTGAAGATGAACCTCCAAGTGATTTGATTAATGTTCCCGTTTATTATTTGGATCATTATGAATAAAGCTCAATGGTTACCTGATGCTATCGATCTTAAAATTATCGGTACTTATGCTCAGACCGAACTGGGCCATGGAAGTTATCTCAAAGGTTTACAGACTGAAACGATTATAATGATGATTCAGATCATACATTTACCGGAGACTTCATATCCGTTCATTGTTCAAATTCGTGATTTGGAAACTTCATGAGCCACTTTCTGGAGGTTGGTGAACTTGGGCCAAAGTTCAGACTCAAGGCAGCCGATAATGGTTATCTTAAGTTATCGTCAGTCGTTGTCATCGAACCAATATGCTTATGAAAAACGCTATCGTTGACGAGAATAGATGTAACCAAGCTAAAGAAGCAACTGATAAGCTTAACCTTGGAACGATGTTGTTTGTTCGTGTGATCATCATTGACATGATGTCTTTCAACATTTCGAAAGTGGCCACAATCGAAAGTGGCCACAGCGACAAGATATTCAACCATTCGTAAGCAAGGTCCAAATCCTGATTCAAATAATTCAAGTTGAATGAAGATGATTGATTATTAAGCTCAAAAGTGCAAATTTTATTTCGTGTATCGCTTTGTCGCACGCTTGTAAAGCCGTTTTCATCTCTTTAATGACCGCTTTCAAAGATGTCAACGAGAGAATGTCAAAAAGAGGTAATTATGGATTGATGCCTTTACTTCACGCAATGTCCTCTGGTCTTAGAGCGTTGGCTGTTGAAACTTGTCGAAGAGCTTGTGGAGGAAATGGATTCCTCCTTGTTTCCGGATTACCACGAATCTTTGCCAATACGGTGGCTACGTGTACATATGAGGGCAAAAACACCACTTTGTATCTTCAAACAGCTCGTTATCTATTCAAAATGGTTTGAACCTCAACAGACAATCACTTTCACTTTTATTGGTTATCTTTATCGAGTCACTGGGCCGAATATTGGTGATCTGGGAAAAAAACGAAGGACGAATTGTTAATAATGTTGAAGGTCTATCACGATTGTTTTCAGCTTATTACTACTGTCATCGAGCTTTCGGTCAAGTTGAATGTCGAATATGAATCCAAGGAAAATCATATGAAAAGGCTTAGATTGAGAGTCGAAATGATCTTCGACTCTCGATCGAATCGAAAAGCGGCAAAATCTGATCTCATCTACTACATGTTAACCAAATACTGGGATTGGGTCTCGATAGCAGATAAATATGATGCCAAAATCACTTTTACGACAATTGGTCTGTTTTTATTTCGGTTTCACGATTGTTTGTTGAAAGTAAAGGTAATTTCTTGGCGGTTGGATTGGATCTAAATTCAATTGAACAAATTCAAGATGAATTAACAACACTCATGATTGAATTACGACCTGCTATGACCTCATCTCTCTCTCTCTCTCTCTCTCTCTTGTCTATGCATTTGATTTACACAATATGGTTCTTATGTCAGCTTTAGGTAAGAACGACAATCAAAACGATTTGATGAGCAATTAAATTCAATCTTCTTTTTAATTGTAGATTGTAATGATGGTAATGTTTACAAGCGTCTATTTGATTTGGCAAAAAAGCTCATCTCAATCAAGTTGATCCAAACCCATCGTTCATCAAATACATCAAAGACTCAAACTGAACCAAATTAAAACTTTATTTATTATTAAAAACTTTAACTTTTTTAAACAATTAATTTCCATTAAAAACTCTCTTGTTTATCCTTAATTGCTATTGACAAAACTTAAAGGAAATCATGATAACATGAAGAAAAACGGGAAAATAAAAAGTCGTTAATTGTATAACAATCATTTTCTGATTGATTAAATTAAAAATTTGAGAAGAAAATTTCAATTCAGTTGACAATCAAATTGGAAACCATGATTATACCTTTGAACACTGGTCATTCAACTGATTAACCAATTGATTGTTGATGATTTAAAATTGTGATGACGATAAATTAAGATGAGCATGAAACGATTGTTGATTAATAAGGATGAATTTAAATACTCATTTGATTGTTGAAGAATTCATTGAATCGGTTAGTTAATCATGTTACTAATTTTAATGTTGATTGTTGATTTGTAATTTATTTCAATTAACTTGAATTAAAATGATTGCGAACTTTTTTTTTCTCCTCTCACCGAAAAGTAAACAACAACAATACGAACAATTAGTGAACCAGAAAATCCTTGTTGATCTAATTCCAAGTTTAAATCGAAAACTTTTTTTCTCTTTTTTGATCAGAAAAACGAAGGAAAGAGAAAAGAGAAAAGGTTGAATCTCTTATTCTGAAACTGAATATTTCATGATAACTGAATTCACCCAAACTGTACACGTCCTCATATCTAAACACAATTAGAATCAATTGAATGGTTTTAGTTATGCCTTGACATGTTTGTGGGTTACCATCAATCACTAACCAATATACAGAGTGTTCCATGAATATGATTAACCATTTCAGGGGAAAATGAAAAAGTTCAATTTTCAATGAATTTCTTTTCCTTGCCTCATGGAAATGAGGGAATCGCTTCTGACGAATACGATTTTCCAACTCACTCTTTTGGAAAATCTCATAACATTCTGAGTTATTGTTCTTCACTTAAACTGTTAGTAAAAAGAGAGAGAGAGAGAGAGAGAGAGAGAGAGAGAGAATTTTATAGAAAGAAAGAGAAGATAAAAAGAGAGTGAGAAGATCGGGAGAGAGAAGAAAAAAAAATATCAACATTATTGTTCTATACGAAAAGTTACTCACTGAAAATAAACATTTTCTTTTTCTCGTGTTGACAAATTTTCTTTTCTTTTTCTTTATTAATTGAGTTTCGACAAACTATGTGCCTTTCACCATTGGAAGTTAATTGTTAATCAACTTGTGTCCCACTAAATTAGGTAATTAGAATGAATTTTAAATTTCTAATTAAAGACAATCAATCGTTTTCTTTTCTTCTTTGGCCAATTGAGTTTTCATTTTCCTTTTAGGCTTTGTTATTGTTTTCCATCCATATTGTTGTTGTTTGTTGTTACCTGTTGATTGTTGCCCTTTGATGGTTAATTGCTTGTTCCGTCTTCATCATCATCATCATCATTTTCATCTTCACCTGGTCTCACATTGGCTACATCATCATCACCTTTATCATCTGTTTTCTATTCTCTTTTATTGTCAATAATTTTCTTCGCCATCACTTGTTGTTGTCAACGTTTTCCATTTTCTTTTTTTTCCTTCTTGTTTCCATTTTTTCTCTCCCTTTTTTCCAATTGATTTAAATCTTAATTGCTCTCAACCCAATGATAGAACTTCTTCCCCAATTAATTTAAAATATTCACTGTTTAATTATCGATAACAATTAGTGATTCATTTTCGCCAGAAATTTATAATCAAATCAAATCCAAGTTCTGTAAGTTAATCCAATTGTTTTCTTTATTCATATAATAATCTCTGTTGTTGTTATTGTTTCTTATTTACAATTTAAATTGTTTAGATTTACCTGTTAGCTTAGTAATTGATTATAGTATTTGTGCTCTCTATCTCTCATTATATCCATTTAATCTTAATTAATCATCAAGTGGATTAATCTAAATTCAGTGAGAAGTGAATCATCTTATAAGTGGCTGAATCATCTTGAAAATGAACCAGAAAAACAAAACTGAAATGTCACCGGATCAATTTAGATGGACTATTAAATCAACGGTGGAAAAAAATTTCTCACCATCACCTTCATCTCTCTCTCTCTCTCTCTCTCTCTCTCTCTCTCTCTCTCTCTTCCTCCTCCTCAGCAACAATTATAAATCATATTTAAGGTCACCAGCATCAATTACAGTTAATTGTTGTCTCTGATCTGGATACATATTCCCAAGCAAATTTAATCTCATTGAATTGTTGATTAATTTGTGCACAGTTACACATGGTACTGGATAGAAAGAGCCAATTACTTTAATGTATCTATTCATATAATAGATTTTAATTGGTCTGAGAGAGGAAAAGAAGGAGATGAAGAGAAATGAAAGAGTAAAAGAGAAGGACTTTTAGGATGATAAAGAGAGGAGGTTTTCTTGTATTCTCTTGTATTCAGCTGGTAACTGTTTTAATTCAATTGTCGATGTTGATTATCAACATTATTCCTTCATCTTGTGAACTTGATATTCATTTGTAATCGTCCATAAACATTGAGAGTTTGTGCCACGCCTTGAACATTTTGCCCACCTTGATCCTTGGATGAAATATCAACATTGTGTGAGTGTTTATTTGAGTAACAACAACAACAACAACAACGATAAACAATCAGCCTGAATGAGAAAACAATCTAGTCATGATTTAAGAAGAATAATCAACCCAAATGAAGAACCAGAGTTTTTCCTCTTCACAATTTACACCAACTCACACTTGAAGAATCACTAATTCATTCAAGTCGAATTGTTTTTCTTTTCTCTCTCAAACAAATTGTTTACTTTATCTTTTCTTTTAATTTTCTATTCTCCTTGAAATTTTCTTTCTTTTTTCGTTCATCTTTTTTTTCTCAATTGAAATTGAACTGAATTAATACAATTAGTTTTCTCTCTCTCTCTCTTTTCCTTCATTTTGATTTTTCCTTTATTTAGGTTGAAAATGATGAGGGAAAATAATAATAAGACTGTCAACTTCCGCGCGGAACATTGTCTCACATGGTTGATCTAATTAAATCTTTTTCTTTCTTTCTTTTCTTTCTCTCTCTCTTTTTTTTCTCCATCATCATCATGAACAGGATATAAAATACATACAAAACCATGACACAAAGATCGAGTAGAGGTACTAATGGACCTTGGAGAGTAGTCGCTGCCGAAGCTGCAGCTACTGCCGCTGCTTCTGGACGAAGTATACGAAATGGTGGTGAAAGGTTGGCCACTATTAACGGCGGCGGTGGTGGTGGAAATGCAAGTGTCCTTGATGGAAGCTATTCTGATGAATCTCGATTATCTGGTAAAAATAGCACTTCACTTTTATCATCATCATCTCTGTCCAAAGTAGCAATAAAACCTTCATCAATAACAACATCATCTTCATATTTACCTTCATCAGCTAATGTTATCAGCACAATCTCAAATCAAAGACAACAACAACAACCACATCAACAGCAATCACAACGTTCAACACCAACCTTATTAACAACCACAAATACAACATCTTCATTATCTTCAATGTACCACCATCACCATGAGAATCATTATTCATATAATAAAACAGGGTATTCCAGTAATAATGGAAGTATTTCCAAATCATCTATGACTGCTGCTGCTGCCGCTGCTTTGGCATCAACATCAGCACCATCTTCAACCACGGGTACTAATGCTGGTAATGGAACCATGATTGACACCTCAGATGAAGAGGAGGAAGATGAAGATGATGATGAAGATTATTCCACACCAATTAGACGAACAGCCAATTATAAGAACAATTTAATCACCGCCAGTAGTGGCGGTGGTGGTGGTGGTGGAGGCAGTTCCAGTGGTGGTGGTGGTGGTAAAATGAAACAAGGTAATGGAGAGGGATCTTCGTCATCCTCTTCACCTTCAACCGCTGCAGCCGCAGCTAAATTAGATCGCTACGGGTTTTATATTAACGATCCTCAATCGAAAGGTTTATCTGAGGATATGAGTAATTTATCTTTGGTTGAAATGACCCGTAAACGTGAATCAAAATGGCTTCACATGTTCACTAATTGGGATGAATATATTCACAAGAAGTGGAAAAAGTTGCGAACCCGTTGTCGAAAGGGTATCCCTGATTCGGTTCGAGGTAAAGCTTGGTTTTACCTTTGCGCTGGACATAAACAGAAGCAACGAAATCCGGAATTATTTTTAAAGTTAGATGGTCAACCGGGCGATGAAAAGATTAACGATGAGATTCGTAAAGATTTGAATAGACAATTTCCTTCCCATGAGATGTTTGCCCAGGAAAATGGTTCCGGTCAAGAGGATTTATATCGAATTTTGAAAGCATTTTCTGTGATCAAACCGGACATCGGCTATTGTCAGGGTCAAGCTCCACTTGCCTCCGTCCTTTTAATGCAAATGCCCGCTGAAGATGCATTTTGGTGTTTATTACAAATCTGTGATCATTATGTTCCCGGTTATTTTTCACCAGGTTTAGAGGCTATTCAGCTTCACGGTCAAATGTTGTCCAGTTTTATAAAAAAGTTTCACCCGCCAATTTATAAATTGTTTAAGAAGCAAAAAATTGACCCGGTTCTTTACATGACCGAATGGTTTATGTGTTTCTTTTCTCGAACTCTATCCTGGCCTTGTGTCCTTCGAGTATGGGATATGTTTTTCTGTGAGGAATCGTAGTTATCTTTAAAGTGGCAATCATACTAATCGCCAGTGTTTTGGGTCGAAATGAGGATCGAGTTAAATGTGTTTCCGCTTATGAAACGTTATTCGCATTGAAAAATATTCCAAGTAAATTTGTTACCGATGAATTTCTCATTGAAAGAGTAATTAACATGGACCTAAGTGAAAAGGATCTTCAAAAGGAGCACAAAGAGCAAAGTTTAAAGCGTCGAAAGGAAAAGGAAAGGTTAAATCATGAAAGATCTAAATCAACAAGTTCGATAATGAAAGGAGGATCATCGACAATTAACTCAGGATCAAATATTTTATCCACAAACAATAAAGGCTCAATCAGAAATAGATCTCGTTCCAAGAGTGATTTTTAAGAAATCGGTTCACAATTTAAACCAATCAACTCTCCTTTTCAAAGAACCACCACCACCACCACCACGAATCAGTGAACAAAAAACACTCCACTCTCTCTCTCTCTCTCCATGGTGTGTTTTTTACTTTACCAATCAATCAACAAGCTACCAATTAGTTTTTATAATCAGTTTCTCATATCTCACAATATTGGAAAGTATTAACTTGAACCAAGAAACCGACAACGAACAGCTAAAAAATGACCTACAAGCAAGCTCTCTCTCTCTCTTTCACCTCGTCATCGTTGTTGTTACTTTCGTCGTCATTGTCGTCCCACTTTGACTCTTAATTGTTTTGGTATTGTTACCCTCGATTGTTTAATTGTTTCAGATTGTTTATTTGTTAACTTTAAATTGTTTATCTTGTTTTTGATAACAACATTTATATTTATATAAATCACCAAAATATTTTCCAATTGATATTTCCGCAAAAAAAACGAGATGTATTTCAAAACCATTACAATTTATATTCCTCTGTTGATTATATATATTATTACCTTTATAAATCACAACAATTAATTGTTTTCTATTAACTGAGATTTCTATCTAATTGATTTGATGATGTTTTTTTTAAATTGTAAATTGTCCCAATCAATTGATAGCAAGAAAAATGGAGAGAGAGAGAGATTGAGAGACAAATGTGAAATTGTATCTCTCCAATTGTCAAAACATGAAAAAGCAATTGTAACAATCAACTAATTCAGCTATTTAATCAGCTGAATAAACTATGTCTTTTTTTATTTAGCGATTAATCAAATTAAAAACTTATTATCATTTATATATATAAAAAAAAGAGTATTTAATTTACATTGATTTTGGTTGGATTTTAAATGAGTTGTTGTTTTGATGATTAACTCGTTAATTGTTGACTTTAAATTGTTTGTGTGTCTCTTTTGTTTTAATCAAAGAGTAAATAGAAAATAGTATTTGCAATTATACAGTTTGTATTGATTGTTGTATTGATTTTTGTATCGACGTGGAATCAAATTTGTTGATAGTTGATTGATTGTTTCATCTGATATTTTACAATTTGAAAATTTTCTTGCGTTTTGATTGATTGATTTTCCAAGTGATTATAACGGTAAATATAAATGCACTTATGAATATGATGAGGATGAGGATGATGGGATTTACAGGTAAGGTATGAATGAAATATCTTCAACCATATTGACTAGACCCATGATTGTGACACCGAGTGTGATACATGCTAATTGTTTGATTGACTCTTTTGGATTGTCTTCCTTTAAAATATCAGGTAGAATGTTGCTCATTGCAATGTAGAGGAAACAGCCCGCTGAATAGGGTAAAATCCAGCGAGTCCGTGTTCCGACCTCAGTTTCATTTGATTGAGCTAAAAGAGCAACAGCCGCACCGATCATGGCTACACCCGCTGTTAAAATTTGAGCTTGAACGGCTTTCCACCGAGAGAAACCTGATTTCATTAGGATGGCAAAATCACCAAACTCATGGGGAACTTCATGGATTAGGATGGCGATTGTTGTTAGAACACCGATCTGAAAAAAAACAACAACAACAACGAAAAAGTATATTAATGATTAATTGTTGGAAATTTTCAATTGGGGGACAAAATGATTTACCTTTACACCGGCGGTGAAACTTGCTGCTATTGCTAAACCATGGGTAAAATTATCAACTCCATTGGCAAAAACACTTAAATAACCAGCAACCGATGGAGATGATTTCTTATCACTTAATTGTCGTTCAATTGATTTTTCAGCTTTCTGATTGTTATCATAATTAGAATCAGTTATCTGTTTCCATTTCAATTGATATTGCAGACGCAATTAACAGGAGGGAAAGAGCAAAGAACAGAAAAATTATAAGAAATTGATAATCACAACATTGAATCTCAAAAGAAGTTACAAATTACTGAAAACACGGAAATTGTTGTTCAACAAGAGTAACAACAATTAACGAATACAATTGAATTACATTTTAGTAGTAAATATTACATGTAATTGTATCCGTTTTATTTGTTTCATTCACAACAAATGACATTATAATAAAAACGATTGAACCAAATTCTCACCTTAAATTGTTGATCATCATGATGATCATCATCTGATGATGATGATGATGATCCACATAGAGTGAAGATCATCTCGATTGCGAGTAAAGTTGATATTCCGGAAACGACCCAAAGTCCCATGTTGAAATATTCATCAACCAATGATCCCGATGATTTAATTACAAACGTCCAAGCTTCCGGTAGTAAATGTAAAAATACATCACCAAGTAAACCACCAACGGAAAAGCTTAATAATAATTTCAATCTATTTCTGGAATCTGGAAACGTATTCAAATCAATATAATATTATTATAAATTCTGGCGTTTTAAGATATAAATAATTATAACCTGACCCACTTTACCTTTATCGTTAAGTTCAAATGAGGACATAAAAATGATCGGGATTATCCCAGTTAATCCAATGGTTCCAGCAGCGAGTAAAGATAAACCCCAAACTGAATCAATTGATTGACTTTCCGGTCTAATGTTTAACTCACTAGAATTCATTTTGCTATTGATTTAGCAAAATAAAATCCAAAAATATAACTGTAAACACAAACACACACTCACAGAATATACAAGTTACTTGTTGAAGAAAAAAAAAATATCATGAATTGATGCTCAAGTTGAAAAGTTCAGAATTCAAGGTGGCGCTTCCATCAAATGGTTCTAATTGTTGACAGAACCAGAAAAAAGTTTTTTTTGTTTATCGAAAAAGTGGTGACATCTGTTGACGCGAAAAGAAACTAAAGAGAAACTTTTTTTTTCGAATTTAAATTTTAAATTGATTTTTGTTTATTTTAAATTTTTATTTTCAATTTTTGATTGTTTTTTGTTTTGGTTTTTGAAATTTTTAATGATTGTAATTGAACACAATCAATGGTGTTTAACAATAGATTTTAGAACTATTATAGATGAATAGTAATTCACAAATTGTACAATTTTAGAGTTTTGGAAGAGGAAAAAATAATTCGAAAAATTATAAACTCGAGGATTAGGTTGTTATCCTTTTCGGTGTTTTCGTTGTTGATGAAAAGTGATGAGGATGATTAGAGATGAATTTTAATTTCGATTATATCATTTTCTAAATAGAGAGAGAGAGAGATTTTCATGATAATAAATATAAATAGTTTTGTTTTTTTCTTCTTCTTTTGGAATCACAATGATAATTTTGTTGATACGTAAACGAATCTTGATGGAAATGATAATTATGATGATGATGATTTATTTTGATTTGGTTTTCCCTTTCACTGATAATTTGCTAACCATGTAAGGGATAAGAGCGACAAATGTATAAGGTAAGATGATATTGATTAGAAGAGCACTTGAATAGAAGAAAAGTTGACTAATCATTGGTATCTTAATGTATTCTGAAGCTTTACAAACAGCGAAGGCCAAAATTGTGGATAAAATTTTCATTCCCAGAGTAAATTTAACCTTTGACGCCGATTTAGAGTAAGATGAGGTTAATCCTAATCCCATACCGATAAAGAAGCCAACATATCTCATAATTGAAAAGAAAGGAGTTGTATCAAGGTGAACATATTCCCGTTTAGCGCACCATTTAAGTGCCCGATCAACCGACCACATTGGATCAACACCTAAGGCTCTAAGGGAAACATAAGTGGCCATGGCCGAGGCAAAAAGGCCGAAACCACCAGTTAAATAGCCACGACGTGAAAGTGAATCTGTATCTAGATTACTGATAATCATGGCAACGGCAACACCAATTATGCCCCCAAGGAAACATTGATGAGGAAAATGAGCAGCAATGTAAACACGTGAAAGTGAAACAACAGCCAAAATGATGGTATAAAATGACCAGGCCAATTTGGCGGTTAAATTGCTTTTAGTTGAATCAACTGAACGATGTCGTAGCCAAGCTTCAATCAGAATATACCAAACGGAAGCGGTAACCATTGAATGACCTGAAGGTGATCCAGGTCCAGTTTCACAGGTGATCACAAATTGTTGTACATCAGGTAAACCTGTCTTATTATAAACTGAGGTTTCATGGATCCACCAGTAAGGCCTTTCACCATGGAGAATCCATTTTAATATCTGATTTGACCATTCGGAGATAACAGCGACCCACATTATCTTACGTCCAGTATAACGGTCAAGAGAATATAAAATTGGAGCATAGAAAAGAAAAGCATATCGAGGATCAAATAAAGTCGATATGAGGAACATTAATTTCGACGATTGATCAAATCTACAGAGAGACAAAGAGAGAGAGAGAGAGAGAGAATTATCAAATGATTAGATTCAAAATCGAATAGAAAATGAAAGAAAATGTCAACAAAGGTAATCGAAGGTGAGAAAATAAAAGTCCAATCAACTTACCGATTCTGAAGTAATGAGATTGCAAAGATACTGTTCTCATGGACAAGATCCATAGCATTTGAAATCATATTTGATAGAAGAGAATAGAATTTGAGAGAGAACAAAAAAGAACAAAAAAAAAAAAAAGTGTAACGGTAAATGAAAAACAAAAGAATAAAATAAAAATAAATAATCAACAGTTAAGAGTGAAAGTTAATTAAGGTAAACATATATAAATGTTGTTTCTTTTTCTTTGATTACTTTTAGACTGATAGGTAAATGAAAATTTCTCTTCGTTTTAATAACAATTTCCTCTCTCACTTTTTCGTTAGTTTCTCACTCACTTTGTTTACTATTTTACTCTCTCACTTGTCGTGATGTCATCTAATCAATTATCATTTTAATTACTCTCTTTCCAAAGGTGATTTTCTTATATTTCCTAGTTAATTATTACATTATAACTTCTGATTGGTTAATCTTTCAATTCTAATCATCACTTTTCATCATCTCTCTTGTTAAGTAACAAACGAAAAGGTATTTTCCAACATCATCTCTCACTCTCTCATTCCTCTCTATCTCTCTCTCTCTGTCTTCAATCGTCATCACAAAACGACCTTCGAGCTTGTTATCATTATATTTGTTTTTAATCATCAACAATCAACTAATCATTATCATCACCATGATCAACTATTAAACCTCTTCTGGTGATTCTCCTCTTCTACCTGGATAGAGATTACTCTTTCCATCATAACAACAACAATCAAATTACAATGTTGATCATTGATCTTTGAGTAAATAAAATGTCTCTCCCCCAAAAGAATTAAATTAATTCTTCTAAATTGATTCATTATCGATTTTTAATTACGATCATTCAACATCTCATAAGTATTATACAGACACATTATCTTTTCCTTTTCTCAAGTCAAACTCAAAGTCTATTCTTTCATCATGAATGAGAAAAACAACAAGAAAAAAACTCTTCTGAACTGAATTAATTTCATTTCCAATTCAATTATTCAATAATTTCACCATTGGTTCAATCACAATTAAGACCATTAGATCAACAATCAGATCAATATCATCATCAATATTATTAAATACAATTGCGATCAACCATTATCCCTTACACAATTTTAGTAAATCAATTTAAATTGATTGAAGTGTATTATTATTATTAAATTGTTGCTTCGTTAGTACAACAATCAAGGTGAGTCAATGTAACTCATTCACATCACGCTTAAAATATCAAATTGTTCACGTGAAAAAAAAATACGATTCTTAATATTATCGTAAATATAATAATACTTTACCTATTTAATTTCTCTCTCTCTCTCTCTCTCTCAAAATCTTAATCATAATACGACAAGTTATTAGATTTAATTGCTAATTAGTAGTGAGTTTTTTTCTCTCATACCACCGGTAACAATTAACTCTCTCTCTCTCTCTAATTGTTGTTTTTCTCTGTTTAAATTTAGAGTTAATTAAATTGTGCTAATCTGTCCTTGAATAAAAGCTCATGGTAACATAATAGTGTATCAGTTAATCATCTTGTTAATCATCACCTTGATCAGCTCATGATATAATTTATCCTTGAGGTATCATTATAATAATAAATAATCAACTTGTGTGTTTTTTGTTGTTGTTGTTAATCAATCAACAAAATCTAAATCATCGTATTGATTTAATTGAAAATTTACACACCTTGACAAACTTTCAAAGTGTATTAGATTATTGTTATTAATTATTATTCCCATTGGTCACAATTAACCACTTAATCAATATACAGTAACGATATGAAATCAAACGTGATCATCTAACGGTAAATATCATTTTAATAGATTAATAAATTAACCAACAATTGACTTGATTGATTGATTGATATTTGCTAATAATATTATCAACATTTCAATGAAAAACTATCAACTCTTTTTACCTTTAGGAAAAAACTTACAATTAAATCAACTATTAATCTATTAATCATTGGTAAGATTAAGTAACCATTAACTTTTCTTAATCTTTAATCAATCAATTACCTTTTCTTGTTATCCTATTCATTGTTTTCATAGACTTTTACACTTGGAAAAAAAAGAAAAGATAAAAAACAATTGAACAGGTAAATAGATAATTAAGTAATTAAATCATGAATCGGTTAATCATATTTCTTATTGTTATCTTGGTGATTCTCTTGAGTGATTACAGTTATTCAAAAAGTTCTGAGTAGAATGAAATGAAAAATTTTACTTTTCCTATTCCATGATTACAATGAATGACCAGAATTAGGATCATGGTGATGATCATGATGGTGATAAGAGGACGAAAATAACATGAATAAACAACCGTTGATACGCAGCCTCAGGTTTCAATCTCCCAATTCCTGAATCATGAAAGAACAAAAAAAAGTAGTAAACCATCAACTCTCTCATTGATATAATGTTTGAAAACGATAACCTGAACTGAGAATTGTGATTAACTATCATAATAATAACTGTGTACTTTTCTTTGCGGATTGATAATAGTTTCAAGAGAAAATATCATTTATATATAAGTTCAAATGACGATTCCATTGAGCCAACGAGAAGTTGATTGTAGTTTAACTGAGAATCGGTGAGTGATTATAATTAAAATAATTCTTTTCATGGTGATCACTTTTATCTCCTTCCTTCCTTCCTCCATGTCTCTTTCTCCCTCTCTTTTCATATTCCATCTTCGTACTTCTATCTCTCTGAGTTCCAATGGAAAATCTCATCCATTGAATCTGAATTTTCCGTCGATTGACATGAGATTATTTCTTTGGATTATGTAACCATTTTGTAGCATTTTCAGTCGACTTTTCTTTGTCGTTTTATTAGAACAATTTTCCATATAATATAAGAATCCAACTGAGCGCAAACTCGCTTGGAAAATGCTCTCATCTTATTCCTTTTATTTAGATGTAGGTGAATTCTCAATGAGAAATTTGAACAATTTGAACAGTTCAATTATATCTTACGAATTCTTTATTATATTATAATAATAAGCGAGTAGAGAAAAATAATTCAACTCATCATGCAAAACATATTCTTCATCATGATGTCTACTATTATTATAACTTATTCCAGTTTCATCTAATTGTTGTTCACTGATTATCATTTGATTGTCAAAATTTTTTCCCCTTTCACTTGAATTGTTGCAAGAAAAACAAAATTTCAAGTCCAATTCTGAATAAGCTCATGAAAATTGAGATTTTATCAAATCGAAATCATTATTTTCTCAATGTTAATTGTGTTGATTTAATGCTACGTTAGTCTCTTTATTTAGTTAAGTATAATTATGATAATATAGATTTGATTAAAGTTATTATGTACATGGAAGTAATTTAAATTGTATTCATAAATTTATCACTTCAACATTTAATTTACTTTGGTTAACTAATATTTTTTTTTGTTCCTCATTCATTTCTTAATCTAATCTGTCAACTGAATTGTGTTCAGAACTTTTTTTCCCTTTGCTACTTCAACTCGATAACCAAGAAGCTCTTCAATTCAATTTACTCTGAATTTCAAATTATCTATTTCAAAATGAGAACAATCAATTTGAATGTTCATTAGTTTGATTACAATTCTCAACTTTCAACCAATAGAATTTTCAATTCTTCTGTTTTTCTGATCAATTCTGAGAGTAACTGGACCTTGGTCAGTATTTTCTTTTCGTCCTCTTCTTACTCTTATTTGGGTTAAGGTTATTTACTTCCTGAGATATGAAGAAAGGTGACCAAACTTTTTCCATTTTTCTACTCACTATAGATTCTGATATTGGGTGAAATTCATCATGAGTTTTAATTAAAACTGTTCACTTTTTTTTCTGTTGGTCAAATTGTCCACCAATTCACTTGAAACTTTTTTCTCTTCTTCTCCAACCATTTTTGAACTTGAATTCTGTATCATGGTTTAGAATTCATTCCAGTAGAAGAAGAAAAAGAAAAAGATTATCATGAATGAATGGAAACCAACTGAATTCATGATTACATTTGGCTCCATTTTTCAGTTTCAACAATTCACCAGAACCTTTTTCTTTTTCTTTGTGATTTATCATGAACCAATGAACAGATTCAAAGTGTTAGTTGAGTAAAAATAAACATTCCATTCAAATATAATTCAGATTGATGATTACAATTAAATTACAATCATGATAATCTGATTATTGATGACCTACTGATTCATATTCAAAGTATATTTTATTCATAAATATGAGGAGAAAATAAAAAATAAAACCGTAAAGTTGATCCCATGATTTATATATGACATGAATTTCATGGTGCACTGAGATTAAGGTTCATGGGAAATTTCAATATTTGAAAAAAGTTGAACAGTTCATTGTGGCGATGAGCATAATATCTCATGGACAAAAGTTCAATCCTTTACCTGTCTGGTTGAGTTATCAAAATTAATGGCGATTCACTTGAAAGTTAAACAATCTGATGATAAATTATGATGACCCTTTCTGATTATGATTAATTAATCAATCATAAGTGTGACAGATTCAAATTAAATTATTACCTGGACCAAATTGTGATATAATTAAGGTAATACAAACAAAAAGATAGACACAATAATAATCAAAACTGTTGAAACAAATTCAGAGGTAGATTGATAATCATCGGGAAGATGATTAATCTTGTCAGGTAAATATGATTATTAACAATTATCATGATGATGATGGTGAAAAACTAAAAGCAATTGAATATTATTATTTCCTGAGAGTTGAGTGAAACATTCAAATTCAATTGATTGACACTAATTGCAATCAAAATGAATCATTAATCATAACCGATATTCACAAATGAACACATACAAAACTGTATCTATTATGTATATAAATTATGCTCATGAACTCACCATGAAATGAACTGAATCTTCACCCTGATAATCCAAGTAAAATGAATAATAACTAATTTTCCTTTTCTTTTCTTTTTTTTCTTTTTCTTCTCATCTCTTATTTCCTTCACCCTTTTTATCACAATTTTCATCTTCAATATTTACTCATGTTCATTATTATGATTATCTTATTTTTCTTTCCTCATCTTTCCATGGTGAACAAAAAAAATATCCATGATAAATGATGAACAAATCCAATTGGAAACTGAACAGAAACTCAATATTTTGCAAAATTCTGCCTTTGGGACTTCCCTTTGATATTACTGAGAAAGGGAAAGATGGGAAATTATATCAGATTCATATCAAAACTCAATCAGCAGATACGATTCTTTATATCTCGGTGAGTTCAATATCATATATATATAATATATTTACATGGAAATAAGAAAATCATGTTACCATGATGTTTGTTTTTTTCATTTATTTGTTATCATTATTATTTATATATCATGTCGATTTATCAGATAATCAAATAAAATCAGTAACAATTTATGTAACTCCAAAGGAACTCTTATCCTCTAAGTACATGATAACTTTCAATTTCTAGTCAAAGTTCATGAGATTCTCAAGTATCATGAAATCGAAAACTGAACCAATTCCAATATTGAACATTTTCTTCTTCTTCTTCTTTCTACACTTTATTCCAGTGAATCGATTGGAACTGGGTGTTAGTTGAAATTCATTTAGATGATCAGTTCTTGAGAGTTGAAACAATATTTTATTTTATATTTTTTCTCATTCGTAATGATTAATCTTTATCTGATTTGGGTGATAATCTTTGAGAAAGATTCTGATTCTCGATGATAGGAAATAAGAAACATATAATCAAGGTAATTATTATCATTGAAAGAAAATAGGAAGAAAGTGGAAAAAAAAGTTCAGAGTAAAAGGTAGATAAATCTCATGAGATTGATTCGTCAGGGTTGAATAAGAGCTAAAAGGTTTATCATGGAGAAAGGAGAGAAAAATATTCCTTCCAGAATTATGATATTCATTGAGTTAAGCTTTTCATACGCAGTATTGGTAGAGTATTATTATCATCGTCATCATCATCATCATCATCATGAAGATGATTATCATGATGCTTATTATTAGAGCTCAGATATTGAAATTAACATTTATACACTTTGAGATTCATTGAAATGAGTTATAACTTTATTTTCATGATAAATTCAGATTTCAGATCGTCAATATTGTTGTGAATATCTATTCCTATCAGTGTTATCATGTAAATACATACAGTATATGAATTTGAATGATTCATTATGATTATCACCATGATAACTTTTTTGAATAATCTGATTCAAATATCATTTGAAATAAGGTTTATGATAATATTTTCATGGTGATTGGGATTGATTTTTCACTGAATTCTTATTCATTTCTCCTTAATGTTCATTTGAACTTTTTCTCTCTCTCTTTTTCTTACCTTGCATGATAACTTTCAGTGAATCAATAAAAATTGAAATTTCGGTGAAAATTTTTATTGAAATGGAACCGAAGTGTATTAAGAAAACGTATTGGATTCTGATCGTTAACATAATCATCTGAATGTTTATTATGCTACATGATATGATCCATCATGAAATCAATATATTTACACCTAAATGCTGGTCAATCTCAGGCAAATGCTAACTTCATGTAATCATTAGTTTGATGATAATTTTCTTGTTGCTGTTATTATAATGTGAATATCAAGGTTAATCAAATTTGAGTCTATTAACTTTGATTGCTTATTGTTGTTGAAAATAGTTGATCCAATTAAGTTTATAAATAGGTAAACTATCATGAGATCATCATGATGTTGAATAATCACATGAAATCATTATAATTGGATACTCTTTATGACAGTGATGATGCTTATACTTGTTTTATTGGAAAATAAAACTCAGAATAAACTTGAAATCAATTCATCTGTTTACCTAAAGTCATCACCATTCAGGCTCTTAGTTTACTCAATTGTCTCTTCATGATGATGATGATGATGATTCTAATGATTCCCTGGTAGGTAATGATAACCATCATTTGTTCATAATAAAGTTTAGCCTTAAGGTAAAGTTTCCATGAGACTCAAATCTCAATTGTTGACCAACTTTCTGACCATTATCATGGTATACATCAGAGCTTATCGATCAACAGAGTTTAGAAAGGATTGTTTCATGGATCGAATCTAAAAGAAAAAAAAATTTCGTAAACATTTCATGTTGTATTTAATGACCATTGAGAGAAAATTATTACCTAAGTAAACTGCAGGTAAGAGAGTTTTGTGATCAAACTGCCATAGGAACTGTAACATCATGAATCTTGTCATGAACATTTTATAATCTCATGGTACATATAAGACATGATTGTGAATGAATTTGAGGACAAAAAGTTAGATAACATCGCAGAATTTTGAGATTGAACTGATATGAAACAAAGAATCGATCGCATGACTTTCAAAGACTTTTCTTTCAATATCATCTCGGAAAATGTTCTGATTTTAATAGAATTTCATTTTTCAGGATCACCTGAGAATTTATTTCTAATCTCTATTCAGTAGGTGGTTCGAATGGATCTTGAAATTCATTGCGATTTCACGCAAAAAAATGTCCCACAGGGTGAAAGTGAGATAACCATTAGCTGAAGGTGTGGTTAACTGATAGGTGATGAACAATTAAACGATTCATCAATCAAAATTATCGGAATTTGATCAGAAATTTTCAATAAACCTTTTTGATCATCTTCTTCTTATATATATTATAACAAGATTGATTTTTAATCAACCTATTGATCACCATGCAAGTGATTGATTTTCATGAGGTCGATGATCAATTCACCATGATATTAACTATCTGATGTATATCATGAGCCATCATGCAGTATGAAATAGGAAGAGTGATATCTTGAGCATATGTAATGAAGGTCAAATGTTGATTCCCATGGATAAAAAATACCCTGAAGCATTTGAACAATAATATGATGGTGAAAAAAAAAGGAGTGAGATACCTTATTCATTGAATTTCCAGTTGATTTTATGTTGATTAAAAATCATCAGATAATAATGATGATCAAAATCCGATGAAAGATTATCATGTCCCGGAGCTATTTTTGTCACTGAATATCACAACTTTTCCTTTTTAATAGATTGTGGTTGAAATTAAAATTCGAGGTCAACAGTTGAATTGATACACTACTGTTATCATCATGAGGTTTATACCTTATTCTGTGAAATTTAATCAGTCTCAGAACTTTTGATATCATGGAACAGGGCGGATAAAAAAGTGCTACAGAATTAACTTCCCATGTGATATTTATACATATTACATTTTCCTATCTCTGGATGAATCATTAATAATAACATATTACATTTGGGAAGAAAAAAAATCCATGTCATCCAAATGAGTGTCGTCTTCATGGAAATGAACCTTTCCCCTGAAGATGTAGCTCCAAGGCTCACATAAGATTAGAAGCTAAGCAAACATTTGCTTGGATTTTTGGGTAAACATTCAGAGAGACAGAGAGAGAAAGAGAGCTGAAAGTTAGATGAAGAGAGAGAGAGATAAATGGAGATGGCAGATGATGAGGATGAGGATGGAAAAGCTAATAATATACTTTAGAAAGTTCTTTGAATTCATTCGGTTCAGTGGCTGAGTTACTGAGGAAAAAAACTCGCTACGTTATAGCAAAGAAAGAGAAACAAATCTCGAAATATTAGAAAATAAACTTATAGATTACAGGGTATTTACTTTTCCCTTTTTGTTTCTTTTTTTCCCCGACTTTATTTTTCCAAAGTAGAACTGAATGTATAGAATTAAGAGAATTTCATCTCTACACTGTTCATGGGATGGAAACTGTTAGAACTTTCAACTTATTCCTTTTCCATCAATCGGAAATTGTGAATTTGAATATTTTCGCAACTATTTTCCCTTTTTTCCCAAAGGAGTTTTCTATCAATTCGATAAATGAATAAGTAAATATCTACATAATGTATTCAATCAACACTTTTTGTTGCAATTCGATATTCATGTAAATCTTATCAATATTAGCTTATCATCACCTGAAACCCAGAATTTGGATGCTACTCATTGAAACTCATTGAAAATTGAAGAGATTTAAATAATTAATCTCAGTGAAATTCAATAATTAAACTGAAACTAATGAGAAGTTCTGGAAAAAGATTGAAATGAAAAAATATTCCAAAGACTCAGAATTACAATAAGATTTTAGTTGTCAAAATTTGGTCCTTATTTGAATTCTCAGCTTGTTATCACTTTTTTTTCTCACTCTCTTTCTCCCAATCTCTTTATATTTACATAAAATAGGCAGTTGTTGCTGTCTATGTATTAGTGGTCATCGTCCTGTTGGCCACTCAATTTCTTGAGAGAGGAAATCGCCAGAGTCGGATATCGATGCCATTCAAGAAAAACACTTTCCTATTATGGGACTCATCGGATGGGGCCAATTGCTCCCTTGAATCTATGGACGATGATAGTATTGTTGTCTGATGGTCAGTTCATCAACCCAAATGACCCAATCCACATATCAATTGAAACAAACGCACATAAACCTTAACTACCTTAGCACCAACAACGCTCACCAGCACAATGACCAGAAAACCAATAATAACAATAACTAAGGTGCCAATTTCAATATCTATATATACATATATTCATGATCCAGAATCATCAATATTATTATCGTGATTATCACTGAAAACAAATTATTATTATGTTATCATGTTACCATTCATTTATTATCCTCAATTGGAAATCATTAATTTGTTGAGTTGAATTGGAAAGGAAAGTTGAAATTGATCAGCTCATAATTTTACCATTAACTTGTTATTGACCGGAATTACTTTGCAATTGATTGGGCAAAATAAAATCATATCAACAATTAAATCAATCAATTGTATAAAAAATACAAATAATACTCAACAAAGTTATCGATTCCTTATTCAAACAGAAAATTAACTTTTTTTTTCTTCTTCATATCAACTTGGCCTCTAAGGGTTTCAATTGAATGGTCAGTTTTGCTATTCTCAAGAAAGTGATAACTTTTATTTCATTATCATGATAAATGACAACAATTAACAACTTTATTATTATTATTATTACAAAGTGAATTATGATTACATTTGATTACACATGATTTTCATTACAATTAATCAGCAGTTTGATAATAGTAATATATTAGTTGGACTTTTTGTTGTTTGTTTTGTTTAATTCGTAATAATAATTATTTGATGATTGGATGGCAATCAATTTGAACAATTAAGCTGATTGCTTGGACAATATAATATATATAAAGTTTTCCATTAAAATAGATTATAATTTTTTAGTTTGTTTTGTTGTTGTTTTTAAAGGAAGTTGATGATCAGCTGTTAAGTTTCATTGTTAACATGATAATCTTCATCTTTGGCATTCTGATGACTTTTGGTGTTGTTATTAATTATCTTGATTCTGATTTACTAATTAAAACAACAAGTAATAACAGAATATGTCTGAATTAAATGGGAGAGGGAGAGGGAGAGAGAAAGAGAGATGGAAAGTTCTTGAATAGAACTTTTTTTTTCTAAAACTTTGAATGATAAAAGTACATTAGATAAGCTCGAGTTTGTTGTAAGCACGAAATGAGGGACATTTGAAAAGATGACGAGCTTAGTCACGAAATTGGAAGATGAGAGAGGGAGAAATTAAATATTTAGGATGACCAATGACGATGACCATCTCGGGGACAAAGATGGAGAATAAGTTAATTTGAATATCTCCAATTGAATTTGTTTCTCTCTCTTTTTTTTGATTAGAAATCATTTGTTGGTTTCTTTTGATTGTAGTTCGAAAGAAAGTTTGATTTTTTTTGTTTGCTTCTCTATCGAAATTAAGAATATTCCTTTTTAATTATTCGCCGTCTTCTTAGACCCACTTCTTCGTAAACGGTTCCAAGGTCGAAACATTCACACAGGAAAGATTCAATTGTTCGGTATAAATGACGATGAACTTGGGGTAGTTCGTGGTTCTGGTCAGGGTAAATCATACTTTGGAACATTATCGAATTTCGTTGTAATGCTCTCATTAGAAGCATCGATTGTTGGACATGGACATTATCTAGAAATGGGAGAATGAATAAAGAATATTAATTTGAAATATTTTGGAAAAGAAAGTAATTCTTCTTATAATCTTTACCATCAGCAGTTCCATGGACTAGAAGATAATTTTTGCCTTTCAAATTACCAATTTTCGATATAAGATCGGATTTAGTGTAGCCGATTATATTATCTTCTTTAGTTGGTAGTCCCATGTATCGTTCAGTGTAAGTTGAATCTGAATCGGGTGATAGAAAAATAGAATAAAAAATGAAATTAAAAACTCTGACCAAATTGTTTTTCGTTTTTTTTTTGCTCAATCAATCGATTTACCCACCATAGTAATACCAGCTTGTAACTGGAGCAACAGCGATTCCACAGGAAAACACTGGCTCTGAGAAACCTGGGCTCGTGGGCTCCGAAGCCAAGGCCATTGTGGTCGCATACCCGCCATAAGACCAGCCCCAGATTCCAACTCTCTTGGCATCAATATAAGGTAAATTGTTGACCAGATATCTAAGTAAATCCAAAGCAAAATAATGAGATAAAAAATACAAGTTCAAATTGATTAAAAAAAAAAATTCAAAATCGAAAAATAAATTGTAAAAGTTTCTGTTTGGTGGCTCCATCTAGTTTAGAATTTAGTAACTAAAACTGATTGAGTGCAATTTTTGATTCTAATATTTTGATTATATAATAAAAGTAATTTGATCAAATTTAATTTGTTTTCTATTAATTTTAAATTTCTAATCATCAGGAGTCGTTTTTTTTGTTTGATGTTTTTGTTGTTCATTTTAATTACCTTGTAACTGCAATTTGATCATCAATCTCAACGGTTCCTAATCGTTTGTAAACCTCATATAAAAGTTTAACACCATTATTTCCGCTTCCTCTTCCATCAATCATCCCATAGATAATCCTACGACGGGAGGCAAGATAATGACCCCAACCAATATCAAATCTACTGGTAACCTGTTGAGTACCCGGTCCACCATAAACATTGATAACAAGAGGATACTTGGTGATCTCATCTTCTCGCAATCCAGGAGGAAGTAACAATTTAACACTAGCATCTTAATTAGAGAAAGATTAAAGTCAAATAAGTAAGAGTAAGAGAAGAAAAAAACTTCAGTTAGTAAATACATCAGATTAACATGAGTCAAACATCAAACTGAAAAGGAAAATTCTGGTTATCATGAAGAAAAAAAAAGTTCATCAGTTGTTGAATTGAATTCGGAAACAGTAGCAACACCTTACATATTAAGAGACTATGATTTGGAAACGGAAAAGCTTCAGGCAAAGTTATTATCTATTTTCAATTTTCTATCTCCATCATTTTCATGTCTTCCTCATCATCATCTTCATCTTATCTTTACACTAATTTGACAGGTAAAGAGAGAGAGAGAGAGAGAGAGAGATTAATTAAACAGAGAAGAGGATGATATGATACCCAGAAAACCAGGTTAACATCAGGAAGAAGCCATGAAGACGGAGGAAGACGGCAAAATGAAGATGAGGAAGATGAGGGATGAAAAAAAAATGAAAGTATTTACAGAAAGACACTGAAGATGATGATGGAAGATGAGAAAATGATATAAAATAGAAATGTTTATATTGTAGCCAAGGTAAAAGTAACAACAAGAGATATGAAAAAGTTAAGGTAAAAAGAAAAGAATTAAGCTGATAAAATAGCCTGAGGGTGAATGATTGATTGAATATGAGAGAGAAAGTAAAGAAAAAACAAAAGATGAATGAAATCACCTAGAAGAAGATAAAGTTAAATTGAAGAAGATGAAAATATTATATAACTGAATCTGAGTTTTCGTCTTTACAACTTACTGTAACCTCCTTCAATTGGAACCTGGAGTAACTTGACCTTTGGCAGTAAAAGCTCGTCAGCCTTTTCTCGTAGGGCATCATTGGGTTGAAGAGTGGTCACTAAATATCAAGAACATGATGAGAAAAAAAAAGTTATATATAAAATTGAGAAAAATTATCGTCACCATGAAAAAGATGAAAAATGGAAAATGGAAAAATAAAGTTGGAATAAAAAGAAAGCGGAAAAGACAGACTATTGAAGGATAAGTGACATTAATTGCAATTCCATTTGATTCAATTGAACTTCCTCGTGAGGATTATCATCAACATACACAAATCACCATGAAAAAAAAGGAGTCAGTGGGTGGTGAATGAAACAATTACACCTCAAATTGTTGATAATGTTTAATCAAGTTGATCAAATGATCACAATTTAACCAATAGTATATTAATCCAGTTCCCAATGGTAATATATTCCTATTTCTGTCAAATTAAATTGTCCCACCAAATTAAACTCTAATTGAAAACGATTAATCAAATGAATTTGAGGAAATTTATCATGAAACTCAAACTCAGACATTCAACTGAATCTGAATCATATTTTTTTCCTTCCAATCAACAATCAGTACATAAACAAATTTAAATGATTTGACAGCAATTTGAGGGCTAAATTTGTCAACTGTTGGATAAAATGAAAGATAAACATGAATCTGAATAACCTCTGAACTCTAATCATGGGGAGGGGAAAAAAATGAATGACAAATAGCATTTTCGATAATATAAAATATAAACAATATCTGAACTTTTGTTTTCTCTAGTAACAAATTGTAATCCCTTGTTATTTCATCTTCCATGCAAAAATCAATTGAATTATCATCGAGCGACTGACTAACTATCTGCTGAAATTAATGGTGAAAAAAACAAATGGTTTCTGAAAAGTTCAGTGGGAATTTTACCAAAGGAAAATGTTATCATCTCTCACTTGGAAACAATATCATTTTTTATTCTCAGTCTTTTGACTTTTTAATATCAATCTTTTCTCTTTCTTCCCTTTCCCTGAGCCTCATCATGTTCATCATCAAACCACCATGTACCATGGGGCCAATTTAGTATCTGCTTGAGATTGCAAAAGATGAAAACAAGTAAACATGATAGCGACTACATGAAGAAACACAAAAAGTAATGACAATGACAAATATAATCCCTTTTCCATGGCTCCTTGAACATGAACAGCAAATACAGTCAAAGACACTAGAGATACCATCATCTTAATCATCGTCATCAACAACAACATCATGGTTAAAGATAAAGTTCCAAAAGATATCATGATAATCGTTCAATTTCATCTTCATTATTATTTTCAACCCAAAGTCCACCCATTGGTAAAGACAATGAGGTTTTTTTTTCTAAGCTAAGTTCTGGCTCTTGAGTAGGAAGAAAAGGAAGAGACGAAAAAGTTACATAATGATCATGATGATGAAGATAAAGTGATATTAAACGATCAACATGATAAGCAACTATAAATTCAATTCAAATCATGGTAAAGTTGGATATTCATGATAGAAAGAAAAATATTTCATGAAAAAAAAACAAAATCTTCTTGAACCAAACAACAGATCCAAAAGTAGGATTACCTGGAAGATTCAATCTATTGTTTTTTTATATTATCTTCACCATTCTCATGGTCTCATGTATTTTTCTGTGTACCTGTGGTGAGATTTCAAGTCACTCATTGGATATTATTTTCCAGATTGTTATCAGAATCACCTTTATCCTTTTCTCTCTCTCTCTCTCTCTTCTTTATATATAAATGATTATCCTCATCTTTTTTTTCTGATCCTTTCCCATGAATGACCATTAGGAAAGAGACAAACTTACCTAGAGAATTAGATTTAGTGATTCTCAGTTCAGTTCTTGGTATTCCCGGTCCAAGGCATGAGAGTATATAAGCTGATGCATCTTCATTAAAAAAGGCTCTTGAGTAAAGGCAATCATTAGTATTGGAATTTGAATCTTTCACTGATTCTAAATTGGAACCTTGATAACCCTTTAAATCACAGGTAAGGCAGGTAACATATTGTGTATAAACATTAACCTTGAATAGATGACGTTCACCTGGTTTACCAGGTAAAGTTGCTTGATAATACCTATGATATTAATACAGAAAAATGATACAATTAATATATAACTGAAAATTTCAATCAAATTCAGTTCATGGATTATTGAAATACTCACAAGAAGTCACGATTATATTTGATAATACTTGTTACATCAAATAAACCTCTAGTTATAAAGTTGTCTTCCGTGTTTACCTGGATCAATTAGTTTTTGATAATTAATTGTAGGTCATCAGGTTCATTTGTTTTAATCCGATTTCCAATTGTTAGTCCATATATATCAAGGTGGAAAAGTTTATATATTAAAATGATTTATGATTAAATGTGAGAAGAAAAATAATAAAATTATAATTAGTAATTAATGTTGATCATCATCATTAATATTTCATATTGATTTGGGCTCTTGCTAATTAAACACATCTTCAATTATTAACTGAATTAATTTAAAATCTGATAAAATGTTACAAATTGTAAACAAATTTAAACAAAGTATTAAAACCATTGAATTGAAATTAAATTGCTAATTGTTGAGGAGAAATTAAATTTCCATCAATAATGATAACAAGAAATGCTAATTGCTAATTGCTGATAAATTTGATTGTATTGAAATTGTTTCTTCATTTAATTGAGCTTCCAGTTCAGTTTTGATGAGTTTTATTATTATTTAGGTTGGATTACAATTGAATTTTTTTAAATTGCTTCAGGCAATTTGTCACCACTTTAAAGATTAAGGCTTGGCTATGATGAGGTTTTTTTTGCTTCGCTTTGTTATTATTTGCATTTCTTTACAATGAAAGCATTTGATTCTAAATCAACATGAATGAACTTGAATTTCCATGAGTGTTATCATGAAAATGAGCTTTACTAATACCTGAAGGGATTTCCATTTCCATTTGCTAATTAGTGATGAAAAAAAAAATATCCAACAACTTTAATTGAAATCAATTTACAGTTTCATTTATCCTTCAATGATTATCAATGAACTTTTTTTTTCCAAATCCAACCTTATAAATGTAATATCCCTGATTCTCATCATCAGTTGAAACTCTCATATTGAATCATGATATTACATGGGAATCTATGGGGTGTTGATCAAGAAGAAGAGTAAAATAATCTTATCATCTCATTTCAAGTTGAACTTTTATTTGAAATTTCCTTCCTCATATAATATAAAGGTAAACAAACTCATGGATGAAAGTTAAGAACTGAATCTTTATCCAATTTCAATTATATTATACACTTTTCTTGGTAAATTTCATTTCTATACTTGAACATTTTTCTCTCGTATTCTCAGAACTTTCACTTTAACTCTCCACCTTTTTCATTCTCTCGAATGAAAATGGCAAAAAAAAAGTTCTAAATGATGACTCGAAACACTTAAGTCTCCAAACTCGAAGAGAGAAAAAAAGAACTTTCTTTTTTCGTTAATATCAAAATCTTCGAACTGATAATGAGCAATTGGAACTAATTAACTTGAGTTAGAATAAAGAATCTCTCTCTCTCTCTCTCTCTCTCTCTCTCTCTCTCTCTCTCTAATCAATATCTCATTCAGATTTCATGACATGTCAATATTTCCATGGTCATACTCACGCTTATATAGAACTGACAAATATGATGATAAGATCCATGCTGCTCATCTTGCAATGAAGGTGCGATAATGTAACCATTGCGTCCAGTGTCATCAAAAACGGGAGATTTTAACTCAAGCCAACCTTTTCTTAGGGTATTAAAAGAGGTCATCTTATTGGTGGAGAAACAAAAAAAAATCAATCCATTAGTACATATTGAAAATCTCTTAATTATAATCAACTGATTAACTTACCCTGATACAGTCCCAACCTGTCGAATCTGAGCAAAGACTGACCAAAGAAATATCTTGACTTCTTAATGACCAAGTAACACTGAGATGTGACGCATTAATCCAGGTAACATCAGTGACATAATAATCGCGACTTTGAATTATAAAGAAAAAAAAACCAAATATCGATTAAAAAATATCGTTATTATACATTGAAAGAGAGATTAGTTAATCTCGAGTTTATATCTTACTAGTTCCGTATAAGTAGAGGAGGACGGACTTGCATTTTCAAATATAAACTAGAATCCACCTCAATCAAGGTAAGCTTAACTCCGGGATTACGACGAGCGACCTAAATTAAAACAATTAACAGAACCAAATTAATCAACTTGAATAATATTAACCACAAAATAATAATAATAACGATGATAGTAAAAAAGGATAAGAGCGACTCAGTATTATCATGATAACAATCAGGGTAATGGAACAAGATTAACGATTCTAATACATTAATCAGAATAAAAGTTCGAGGAGTTGAAAAAAGAAAAGTTTCAAAAGTTAAGTGTAATATAAAATAGAAAAGTTCTAACGTTAATAAAATTAACCTCGAAATCGATAACAACCATAGATAATTTTCTGATCTATTACTAAGTACATACTATTACATAAGATTAATGAGTTTCCATCAACTCATGATACCATTTTCATGATAGAATCAATTTAATATTTCATTAAGAAAACTTTTAAACTTTGATAGTGAAAAAAAAATTACAAAGTTCTGATGAAGAAAAAAAAGTTCGAACCGACAATTCGAACCAACTAATTTATCATCATGTGAATCATAATTATTAATGAACAAGTGAATTGTTTAAATTGCTACATCAACATCATGGTTGGTTACCTTTTTTATCATCATGATAATAAAAGACCAAGGAAAAAGTTCATTATTAATATAAAAATGATTCCAAGAGATTTTTTTACCTCTTCCTGATTGAAGGAGACAAAAAAAAATATCATTCTAATAGGAAATCTACTGAACAATATGAGAAACCTAAAGAATAATTTGGAATTCATAGAATGAGAAAGAGAGAGAGAGAGAGAGAGAGAGAGAGATTCATGGTTCCATATGGGAAAAAAGTTCCAAGAGTAAATATTAATATCATGAGAATTGTTATCATTCGATATTATTAGAATGAATTATCCTGATTATTCAGTCTATTGGCTTGGAATGAGAAATTTTCTCTATCTAATCATTTGTTCATTTCATGATGGCTCTAATTTTGTCCATGGGAAACTCATAAAATCCAAGGTGATGAAATATATATTTATATTGTAACTTTTTCTCTGACTGTGATTCCCAGAATATTGAGATTATCTCATGATAAAAAGAAAAGAAAATGATAATAATAATAATAATAATGATACATCAACTGATAATAATATTAAATATCTTACTCTTGGATAACGTAGTCCATAAATTTTAGGTAAAAAGTCATTGTAAAAGGTCAATCCGATTGTGTCCACTTGAGAATCATTAAACTGTATGTAAACCACTCGTTCACCACCAGGTGACCAATAGATTGCATTTGAATCGGAAAGTATTTCCTCCTCGTAAAGCCAATCAGGTATACCATTGTAAATAACAGATTCGTTACCATCATGAGTTAACTGGACACTTGGGGCATTCACAGATGGCTGATAGTACAAATTGTTATTGTAAACAAATACAAGGTCATCTTTTTTAGGTCCCCAACGAGCATATTGTAACCTGGCATCCGGTAGCTTTGGACTTGGTGAAAGTGGAATCAACTCACTGAGGGTCGAGAAAAATTCACCATCAATTTAGAATCAGTTGACGAAAATTGGTCACATTATTCAATTGGAATTGATTTTGTACTTAATATTAATACTTACTCATCTTTGATTTTGTAGATTTTAAACTTTGCTGTATAAGTGTGACGAAAGATCTGAAATGTTCAGAATCAGGAGAGAGAGAGAGAGAGAGAAATTTAGATTAAATTACTTAGGTGTATTCATCGTGAATTGAATTACTTTTGAAATGAATTCATGATCAACTTGAATCGCAAAGAAAAAAGTTCAACACTTTACCTTTTGTATATCTTGTTTTATCAATAGATATTGATGATCAGCTGATAGGGTGAAATCTTGAACATTGTGAATATGCTGAACAAGATGATTCCAATGATGATGATGAATAAAAAAAAGAAAGAGAAAGTTTCAATATGTAATCATGAAAGATCATGTTATTAGATCAAATGAATCAGACTGGAGAGATGAGAGAGATCAATATTAATGATATTGATGGAAAATGGAACCTTGTTGCATTTTCCTTTTTTCTCTCATGATAAAACTGTTTCCAGGGTAAATGATAATGGTGATGATAATGTTCATAATTCTGAACATGATGAGAGAGAGAGAGAGAGAGTCTATTTTTCCCTTGGTATTTGTTTTTACCAAGACACAGAACTGATTCTGATAACATCTAATGGAAACTAATTATAGACACAGTTGATTATTGTTTCCATTCAGGGAAGCTCAGCATTCACCATGATGATGGATCAACAAACTATCTGAATAATATAACCACCTACCTGGAACTTTTTTTCTCTCTCAAAGTCTTCTCCTAAGATGCTAACCAGTTTGAACTATTCAAATACTTTGAATGTGATACAATTTTCTGCTGATTTTTTGCTTCGAGAAAATAATTAAACTAATAAGCTGAGGACAAAAGTTTCCACCTCAAATGTTCAGGAAAACTATTCAATTCTCAGGTGAGATTATGTGAGGAAAATCGGTTGGAAAATGCAAATTCAAAAGTAGATGCAAATTGTTGTGATAATTAAGATGAGGATGTTACCATTTACATAATCAAAGTGATGAAGGTTTACTCAAGTGATGGAAAGGAAACAGGAAGTTTGATTGGAAAATTTGATTAAATTGTTTTAAAAAAAAGACGAGAGAGAGAGAAAAAATAATCACCTAATTCATTTATCTTCACCATGAATAACATAAAATTAGATCAACTAAAAGAAACTCAATTTCTACTTGAGAGAAAGTTAAATCATCTCAAATCTCTCTCTCTCTCTCTTCAAATTTTGATCAGATTCCAATGAAATCGATTGACTAAATTATCACAGATTAAAGCATAAGTTTATGATAACTATTAGAAACACTTCCGGTCTAATGAACTTTATCTCCATTATCTGTTGATTTGGGTGATACTGATTTACATAAACACTTTAAGGAAAATAAGAGCAAAAATAACGGTAAATGAGCTGAGATACAAGTACATTCATCAACATGGACACACCTTTTTCACACCATGAAAATTTTGTGTAAAATTGATTGACCAGGGTAAGTGGATGATACAAGAGACAAGGATAAAGATGATATTGATCATCATGCAAATTTATCATCTTCTTGATATGAAAACATAATATTTATAAGAGGGAAAAATAATCAAGAATTGTAAATTTATGCAAATTTAACTTTGATGATGAAGATGAAGATGATTATGATTATGATTATGATTCTGTTAGTTAATTAGTATTGACTTACAAAAAATGATGCTGGAACAAAGGTTTCTCGTGTTGAAGTGTTCTGATTAATGTTCCAGGTAACAAGGTTGTCATCCTCATCTTTATAAATCAGCTGATCGTTTGTTAGCCAAGATCCGTTAAAAAGGCGAGGATAAAAGGCCCCGTTAATATAATCATTCAGGTCAATTTCGTCTTTTTTTGTGTGCTTTTTAAGGGTAACTTTTAGTTCATCATCATCATGAAATCAGGAAGATCAAGATAAGAATGAAAGAGAGAGAGAGAGAGAGAGAGAGAGAGAAGAGAAAATAAAATTAGATGAAAAAAAGATGAGGATAAATTGACCATCACCGTTGATTCTCATCCCATTTGAACTTGAAGATGAAACAATTGACCAACAATTAAATGTTCATATCGATGATAAATTGTAAAGTCTAAACTTAACCAATAAGAATTTAGTTGAATAAACAATCAATCGATTAATTTTATCATTATTGTTACTCATGATGACCAAATGATAATTAATAATTAATGATCAGCGCCATTTAATGGTAATCATCATTATCATCCCTTAAATAGTAAAAGTAATTGCTATTAACAATTTAAGGTAAAGTTTTACCTTTCCTTTCAATAATAATCCATTAAGTGCCAATGATCATTATCAAGGTAATCACATGGGGGAAAAAAAGTAAATTGTTGATCAATTGATTGATTATCGACTTGAAATGCAATTTAACCAAAGATGGTCAACAATTAAAAGGAAAAAGGGTTAATTTGGTTTTCCATAATGTATTAATTAATGTGATTCAAATTTTCATGATCATTACATTGGAAATGTAAATATTGTAACAATATAAATAAATAAACAATTAAAGTTCAATAGCCTTTCAATTTAAAACTAATTCGATTTAAATGATTAACAATTAACTTCCTTTTCCTCCTTTTCAATTATCATATACAAAATTTTGAAAGAAAAAAAAAAGTTTTCTCTCCACTGGTAATATTTAATTACTTTTCTGTGTTGATCATCATAATTTGGTTAATTTAGTTAACAATCTTGATTACTATTATCATCATCATCTAATGGTTAATGATTAACTTACTGGTTGATTGCAATTAACTAAATGAAAATAAAATCATGATCATAATTATCATAATGTTTTAACTTGGTATTGATTTGGAAATGATAAAAATTAATAAGCTTCCTGATTGTGATTAACTTGATTGTTTTTGTTTTGTTTTCTAGCCAAAATTTGATCATCACAATCAACGTTTCAGAGATTTTTTTTAAATTAATAGTAATCAAATTAATTCAGTTTATGTTTTAAAGATTGAAACAATTTAAGGTTAAAATATCATCGTGATGATGATCATCAGATTTAATTGTGAAAGTGATTAATCAGCAATCAAATTTTCCCTTAATGGGCTTCTCATAATACCTATGGTTAATTGTGATTAATAGTAAAACAAAATTGGGAACAATTTAACTAATACAATTTCTTAATTATTCATCATAAACAATTTGATTCCATTTCAAATTTAATTGTTATACTTTCAGTTGATCCCAATTAGAAAGTACAATTCAATTAGATGGTTTTGATTGTTGTTGACTTTTTTTTTCTATTTCCTCTTGTCAATCAAGTTAACAGAAGCAATTAATCAACAATTAAGTTACGTTTCGTATCTGTTAATTGTTTACTTGATTTGTAAGCTTAAAAATAGTGTAACTACAATTAAGTTAATTGTTTTGGATCTTTTTTTCCCCGATTAATTGGAAATAGAAAAAAAACTTATTTTCCCTTCGTTTGGTTTTTCAAACAATTAACTAATCAACATGAGATTATTAATAAACAATCAAGAGAGAAGAGGGAAAATCAATTTTACAATCAACAATTGGTGAGTTTGGATGAAAAAAAAAATCAACAATCAACTGGAAACTTTAAGCTAATTGATTAGAAAGGTAAAACTTTGTGATTTAAATTAAATTGTGTCAAATTTAAATTGATTGATTATGTTCATCCAATTGATTTAAACCGTTAGAGTCAATTAAATTGGGGACAATAAGGATAATAATATTTATATTTATCCGGTCAACAATTAAGCTGCCTTGGTAATCAAATTAAAATGAGCATTTGGCTAATTGTTGGCGATCATTTCTGGTTATTAGTTAATTAACTTACTTATTTCGGGACTTAAAAGGAAAACGGCAACAGCGATGATCCCACAAATGACCAGAATGACCAGGAAGGCGATTCCGATTCCCCTCCAATTGCGTCCATCGCCTTCAACAACAGCGGCCAATTCCTTATTTTTGATGGACATAATTAGACACAATTAATTATTAATTAATCCAAAATCCAATGAGAGTCCAATTAAGGTAGAAAAATAGTCCACAAAATTAATGATTAAAAGTAAAAGTTGTCACCAACACACATACACAATGAGATGGATTATCGTTGAGAGATTAAAATAAAAGAGAAACAGAAAGAAAATTGAAATTAGTCAATTAATCCAATTGTTAATCATTTTGAAGATCAAAGTAATTAGTTAACTGATAAATTGTTCCATTGTTTTTGTTTTGGTAGGAAAAATCATTTATCTAAAGCTGACCCACTCGAACTTGACTCGTTCTCATGATAGTAGCAATTTAATTTGATTGTTATGGCGACAAATTTAGTTGATGGCACACAAGTCGATTTGAAGTAATACAAGATGAAAACACCAATCAACTAATCAACTTATTGTTGATTAACAATTAAATGGAAACTGTTGATTGTTGATTGTTGGTGTTCAGTCCAACAGTTAACTGTAAACTAACGGATAATTTTATATAATTTTGAACAACAACAACAATTAACAATCAACTTGCCCCAAACAAGTTTGAGTCTCCCTAATCTCCCGCTCCCTTTTACCACTCTCTCCTTGTTTACATCTCTCTTCCTCTCTCCCTCACACACTTATCATCTATCTTACTTGCTCATCATTTATCCCCTTTCTCCCTTATCATCATCATCATCATCATCATCATCATCATCGACTGTCAGTTGAAATTAACTATCTGTTACTTTCCAATATATTTTGATCGGGTTGATTATGTTCATCCTTTCATATTAACCTATGGATTCTGGTTATTACCATCATGGTGATAATAATGATCATCATGATGCCGGTTGTGGTGAAACTAACGGTTATTAACATGATGAATTGATTTAAGGACTGAAAACCTTTTTTTTTTACTTTGATAACTCAAAGTATCACAAGGAATCAATAAAAAAAAATTCACCGTTAATTCATTATGCTCATTAACAAGTAATATCCTTTTATCAGAACTTTTTTTTTCCTTGTCATTAAAGCCAAGTAATTGATCAGCTTAGCATCATGTTATCACCATGATTATTGTATATTAATTGATTCTGAGGATAAGAAATCCAATAATTACAGACCAATGGTTATTATTAATATTAAAAAAAAAGACTCTTAAGGAAAAGTTGATATTGAAAGTTATCCATTAGCTATAAGTTGGTCTTGCCAAGATTTCATGATGATTCAAACATGATTAGATTTCTGAAAGTTCAAGAACTTTTAAAATTTTTCTTTCTTTTCTATTTACAGTTATTACACCTTGAAGATGATGAACATGATAAATATACAGCAGAATGATTGTAATTTTATCTTCTTATACTTTTTTATATTCTTTCAAATATTATCTAAATCAAATCTGAATCAGAACATAAGAAAAAAAAAGTAGCTTGACCTTTGCCTCGAGCGAGCTAATTTATCGTTCATTTGATTTAAATTTAGTTTCCCTTTTAGCATCTCATCATCATCATCTTTTTAATCTTAATGATGATCAATAAATAGTATAAACTTAAACTCAATCTTATTGATGATAGTGGACAACAAACCCTTAGCCGATTGACCAATAGTTTCCCAATTGTAAATCAGAACAACTGATGAATGTGATTAATTTATTGACCATCATCATGAAAATATCCTCAAGTATCAACATGAAAAGTTACAATAGTCAGCTGAACTTTCTGGGTATCGAAATTTTCACCATGAAATTTCCAATCAATTCCCAAGGGTTTTCACCATGAGAAAAAAAATCCAAACAAAAAACTCTGAAAATCTCTTGAATGAAATAGGAAAACTCTCTCTCTCTCTCTCTCTCTCTCTCTCTCTCTCTCTCTCTCTCTCTCTCTCTCTCTTCCATCTTCATTATCATCATCTCCTGAATATAAAAATATGATGACAGAAACGTGAAAGTAATATTAATATGATTTGACCTGACTTTGAGAATTGAATTATATTTATAACATGTAATATAAGAAACTGTTGAAAAAAAACCTTAGCAATCAATTTTGATTCAGTAACAATTCAATTCACAATCAATTTGGTCTAAAATTTTTCCCGAATAATTTATTTCAAAGCCTCAAGCATCTTCATCTTATATATAACGTTTTAAATGTTAATCTTAATCTCACCAATCTAATCATCACCAACAACTAAATCATCATTTTAAATTGTAATCAAAAGAGTGAAATTGTTTAAAAACTCACCGGATCGTTACTGTTAAATGTATTGAAATTGGCAAAATTAAATCGATGCATTGGAAACTTGCTAAATTTGCTTAATGATTACGATGATTAATAAATTTAGTTGTAGTTTGTAGGTTAATAACTATTGAGAAAGTTTCAATTACCCGAGTAACTAAATTTAAGTTCAATTAACAAGGTAAAGTGAAACAATTTACTAATCACAAGGTAAAATAAGTTAAATCATTTGAATTGTTGAAAAAAAAAACAAATGAAAAAATCTCACAACTTTAACAGTAATGAACAGATTAATTTGATTGTTGATGATTAAGATGCAATTACAAATTGATTGATTTGAAATCACAATAAACAATTAAATGATGATCAGTAAATATAAATGGTCAGTTAAAGTTAATTGTCACTTTGTCTTATCTGTTGATCGATAACAATTAAGTTAACTAACATAATTAGAAGGAAAATAATCAAATATTTCTTAATCACTTCAACCAATCACAATTAAAACATCGTCTACAATTGTTAATCATGTAGCTGAGAATTAACCAGATGAAATAATGTGATTAGTAAATCAATTGTGAATGGAGATGATCAATTAATCACTATTATTACCCCCTTAATTGCTGAGAACAACAATTAGTGATCAAAAATCAATATCGCTAACAAATCAATTAACGTCAATGTGTACAAATTTTTCGTTGTAATTATTTTAATGATAGTTAGTTAATTTGTTAATTGTTGTTTTCAATGATTAATCCATCAAAATTAAACAATAATCATTGAACAGTTAACATATAAAGTACAATTAAGACTAATATACACCTAGACATAAACACTAATTACTATTAATTAATTAGCTAGTAATTAGTAATAATAATTATAATATAATTTCTATCGGATATTGATTATTGAGAATATGAATTGATGATGTTAAACATTAACTGTTCATTGATTGTTCACAATCAGCATGATTATCGAGATATTAAAGTGAATCTCGATAATCAATTCACAACAATTAACATTCCAAAATTAAATCAGAAAGCTCTGATAACCTGGAAAAAAAAGTTCTGTTTCTTAATCAACAATCGATAACAATTTATAATTAAAAAGTTTTCATGCAACTTTTTTTTTTCTTCATCTTCTCTTGCAAAAGTCTAATCATCATCTTCACCTTGAGATGAGTTTTGATCATGTTTTTCAATTAGAATCAAAAGTTTCAAATATAACGGTTTTCTTTAATCATCATTAAGTTTATCATTTGATTGTAAAAAAGTAGTAAAAAAAAAGTTAATTGCAACTTTATCGGGTTAACAGTAACAACAACAATCAGTAAATTATGATTATCATGATCATTCATTTTCAAAAATGAATCAAATTTTTTTAGGTTATCATTTTTTTTCATATACATTAATTATAATCATGGATCCAATGAAATACAAAAAAAAACAATGATGATTAGTGAATGAAATTAAGTTTCAATTGTTAATCAGGAAATTAAAGTTACAATTGTCAAGAGTCTTAAGTGTTAGTTGATAATTTAATAGTTCTGAAATTGAAATGATCAATTTGAGCAAATTTATTGATACAAATCAAGGTTAATCAGTTTAATTACGATCTGAGTGTAATCATTTAAGTTGTAATCAAAATAAGGACAATTTAATTTAGTTAAGAACGAGTTGAATGTTACTTAAATAGCTTGATGATGATGAAGAAAATTAAGAGAACGAAGTGTTTAAGAGTGTATAAGATGCCCTGAGGGTGAAATTAACGCTGAATTTAAAAGGAAAAATGATAATCAACTTGAATGTTTTAATATATTCGATTGCAAATTGAAAAGCTGAGCATCTTTCCTGATAATTTAGAAAAGAGATACTTGAGCTTTTATATTGAAAGAATTGTTGACCAATCGATTTCAATCAATTTCATAGAATTACAACTTTTCATGACAAATTAAACTTCCATCATGGTCATGCTACTCATTATCTTTAAATTATCGTTCGTGTCTACTGATTTATTATACAAGAGATAATGAATTAGATGTTCTTTTTTCTTCTTCTTCTTTTTGATCAATTGATTATTTGTATCATGAAAAGAGAGAGAGAGATAGAGAGAAATTTTCATGAGTATCAGTAAGAATTAGAAACCGAAAGAGAATCGGATCTCTTTTGCCTTGGGGCGAAAATTTTATAAACGAAATGGAAAAGATGATAAAATCCTCTTGTCAATCAATTGGAATCAATTGTGTTGATGAAAAGAGAGAAGAAAAAAATTGATCAATGTGAAGATGAAGATGAAGATGATGATGAGGATAAAGTGGATGAGGCCACTAATCATTTTATCGTTAACATGATGATGATTAAAAAGTTTCAGTGAACAATAAACAAGGTGAAAAAGACGATGAATAGATTGGAACGTGAGTATTTCCATGAAAAGAAAAAGATAACAATAATAATAATAAATAGGATAATTTATGCAAATGATGTTAAAGAAAAGAGATCAAGTAAGTGACCAGCAGAAAAAGGGTCAATTATCAATTGAACATGAAGGAGAAACAATAAAAGGAGGGGCAGAGCGAAATAGGAATCGCCATGAGAGGAACAAGAGAAATGAGCCAAATGATGATAACAATTTAATCTTGAAATTTAATAATAACAAATGACCGGTGCCCTGGACCAGATAATCATTATCATCACCAGGAAGATGATTAACCAAAACCAATCAATGAACAATCAACAACAAAGTAACCAATCAACT